CCACCTCACCCCTGTGCCCCACTGGTTCTCAGTACAGCTGACTAAATACTTTTCAGACAGCTCTTGTCTGCTGTGACATCCACCTACGACATTACCACTGCAGAGTGAACTTGTAATTTACAATGTAGAATGCTGGCATATCCATGGCTCCTTTGAGTAGGTGTTACCTCCTTTTAACTCCTGAGGAAATTGAGAGATTTAGCAGTTAGCTTAAGATCAGAGCTGGTTAAACATTTACATCAGGTAGATACACTCCTTGGAGCAGTCAGTCAGTGGGAGAACAGAAGGGCTGTGTGTATGCACAGGGAGACAGCTAGAGAGGGCAGGACTGAACGGGAGGGAACACAGGAAAGAGGGAACTACAGGGAGAAAGTGGGAAGAGAGCTGTTACACTGTTTCATGTCAGTGTCATGAAACACAACATGTATGAACTACTGTAGTGAAAGTGAATTTGCTCTGTAAACTTACCCAAATCACAATAAAAATTAAAAAAAAAAAAAAACAGCAGGTTAGTGGAAGGGCAGAGCCTCAAAGCCAAGACTTCCTGACACCCAAGCCCAGGGTTCTACTGGGCTGCACTTCTGCTCACTTGGTCAGCAAGAAAGGTGGGCTCAGCTCCTGTGGCCTACACATGCTCTGCAGCAGACCTGAGCCTGCTGTGTACCCTGTGAGCACATGGAGTTCTCTCCAGTCCTTCTCCTGCCTGCTCCAGGCCTGGAGTGTCTGTTCCCCGCCCCTGTCCCACTCATACCCCGCTTACTAGAGACCCCTTTACTCAGCCTCCCTTTCTGGCCGGTTGCTTCAGTCATCTGGCTTCTTGCCTGCTGGTCAACAAGCGTGTGCCAAGCTCTACTCCTACAGCCTGCAAAGCTACAGGTGAGCTGCTGCCAGGGACGGAGGGAGAGGTGTGAAAGAAGGCTTGGTGCCCGGGATGGTGATATGACTGGGGGAAACATTGACAGAGTCAGGTGGGAGGGGTTGTGGCTTTCCTCTCCCATTCCCTCCCTCTCCCCAGTTGTGTTTTGAAAGCTAAGCTGCCCTAAGGAAACTCAGAGCCCCTTCTCCCCTGCAGCTGGCTAGAGGAAACATTGCCAGCCTGGAGCTCCCACCTATACGCCGTGGTAAGGCCCAGCTTACAGCAAGCCTGGGCCCACACCAGTGCCATAGTCAACTTCCTTTCTACCCACTGTGCCTCCCACCTTGCCTGGTTTGGTGACAGCCTCGCCAGCCTCTCCCAGAGGGTAAGCCAAAGACAGGGAGGTCAAGGAAGGCCTGGAGGTCAAGGGTAGAATTCTTGGGAAGGTGCAACCCCACGTGGACTGGATCCTTAATGCCAGGGTGTGTTCCCCTCTGTGCTTTAACCTGTTCCATTCTCCGTGGCCCAGATACAGACCCAGCTCCCAGATGCTCTGAACCAGCTGCTCCATTCTCTGAAGGAGCTTCTGTTGCTTCTGTACCAGAACGTGCTGCTGCCGCTATGGCATGTACTACTTGAGGGCCTGGCCCGGGCCCAGGAGCACTGCCATGAGGTGTGCAGGTGAGTCTCCCGCAGGGCTCCTGGCAGGATCCCCAGGGGCAGGGAGGCTCTGTTCAGGCTCTACTCTGCCCCCATTGTCCCCTTGGTTACTCTGGAATGAAGTTTGTGGTTCTAAGCTGTAGTCCTGTGACTTAACTGCACACATCCCCAACCCCCCAAAATATTGTTGTTTCCTCCCAGAGGTGACATAACTTGGGACTGCGTGAAAACACAGCTCAGTGAGGCTGCCCACTGGACCTGGATCTGCATACAAGACATCACAGTGGCTTTCTTGGACTGGGCACTCGCCATGATATCACAGCAATAGGCCCAGCCTGCCTGGCCACTTGCTTCCATCTTGGGCAGGCCATCTTAGACTGCTGGGGGCTAGGAGGGCTGCCATGTAAATGGTATTTCTGCATGGTTTTTTTTTCACTTGGTGCCTGAGTTCTATCTCAGGCAAGTGGCCAGTTGCCTCTGCCCCAGTTTTCCATCTCTGGTGAGGACTGAACCCAGGGGTATCTCAGCTTCTACCTGTGATTCCACTGAACACTTCTCTGGCCCTGTTGCACATAGCTCCCTATGTCCTTGGGCTGGCAGTCTCTCGTCTCCTCTGCTCTGCTTCATCTTGTTCCTAACACCCTGAAGTGCTCATCTCCATGCAGATTGGACTCCCAGAGTATGGCTTCTGCATCCTGATTCCAGCCCTGGACTTCAGCAGTCTTGGTCACAATCTTGATCATAACTTTAGCCACAGATGAGAAAGAAGGAGACTTTCAGAACATTGTAGCACCACAGTGGGCAGCAGCAGCTTCACCTCTATCTGCATTGTGGGTGTGGCTTTCATTGGAAATGCAAGGCGTGGGTAGAAATGAAATGCCTTTCACATCAAAATGCCCAGCCTCTGCCCTTCCAGGCCCCATGCTTCATCATGGTCCTACTTCCTTAACTTGCCCTTCCCCTTCAGTGCCAGTGGGCTCTGCCTCAGAGCTTAGCTTCTCTCCGCTGCCCCACCATCTGCCTGGAAAGCAGAGTCCAGAGAGTTTTGTGCCGTAGGCCTAGGGAACCAACCTTCCAGCAGCCTGTTGAGACAGAGTTCAGTATGTGGCTCTCAGATGCCTGCTAGGTGGAATAAAGGACAGATTTGATTCTAGAATTCCTCTCTGTATCCTTGTATAGTGTGGGACAGGACACTAACCTTGTATCCGTAGTCATGGGACAGGACAACAAGGTGAGCCCCTATGTTCTGTGGCCCCCTTGCCCTCCTGAGAGTTGGAGCCACTGGCTATAATTGAGCCACTGGCAGAGAAAGCGAGATTCCATTGTTCTAAAGTTTGCTCAGTTGTGGGTTCCAGACACACTCCTTTTGTTCCCCTAATCATGTTGTCTCCTTGTGAGGCCTGTCCCAGTATTTGCCTTGATAACTTGAGTATTTTGTGCTGGGAAAGGCAGGAAGGAGTCTTTTTCTTTGCCAGGCTCTTAGTTTATTAATTGGTTTGTTTCATAAGGCTGAGAGTGAAAGATGGGGAGTTCCAAGAGACAGACATGAATCAGTAAGGTTTATCACAAAGCCTCTTTCTTTTTGGCTTGAGACTGGTTTTTCAGTCATCACTTTGGTTTCTTTGAATGTTTCCAAACCTGAGCAATACTGGAAGCACTGCCTCCTTGCGCTGCTTTGTTTCTCATAGACAACATCTAAGATGATGGCAGCGATGATGTGCAGTTGCTGCTTTCCCTACACATGGTCCCCAGACCCTCCTGCTTTCCCAGTGGCAAGAATGCAAAGTAGCAAGCGAAGAAAGATCTTGAGAGGAAGTGAGGTCATGAAAATTACAGCATTTCACATTTCCCCTTTCTTTGTTCGCTTACATATACGTTACCTCCTGGGAATTGAACAGCCTGCAAGTTGCAGCACCCTGTTTTCCTAGTGAGAGTTAACAAGCCATTTTCCCAGGAAAAGAAAACCTCAACTGGCAAAGGGCCAAGGTCTAGTATTGCGCAGCAGGACTATCCAAGGGTCCCAGGGCATGTTCCATTTCCTCAGTTCTTTAGCAGTCAGGAACAAATGGGTAAGGTTCTCAATCTCAATTCACAGCAAGTTGAAAAAAGGATGTTGGTGTGAGCTTGGGTGGGCAACAGCCCAGGGCAGGCAAATTGAGGACACTAGTCCTCTGATGGGGAGCTCTGGTAGCATAGTGCCTAAGGCACTTGACTGCTAACCAGAAGGCTGGTGGTTCAAACCCACCAGCCACTCCTCAGAAGGAAGATGGGGCAATCTACTTCCATAGTGATACTGCCTAGGAAACCCGAGGAGGGGTCACTATGACTCGGGTCCAACTCGACGGCAAACAACTAGTCCTGATGATGAGTCCAAGGCTGCTGAGCCCGAGTTCAGCTCAAAAAAATGCTGTTTACAAATTACACATAGGTTTCTAATAGTGTAATGGATTTACCTTGGGGTCATTTGATTGCTAATACAAATAATCCTCAGATGCAACATTATTCTTCATCAGCTTAGGTTAGATGGGTCTCCACAGCTGCTCACAGGTACACTGATGGTAACTTTAATTGACGTAATTTAATAGACATAATTGATTCTTTGGAATTGCCCCTCTGTCAGAAGGAGTCCAACACTGCATTGCTGTCTTTTACAGCAAACCCAGTCATCCAGATGTTATATTTTTGCACAACTGTCAAAAGCAGGAATCCAAGCTGAGCCAGTAAACTGAACCCCGTGTGAACTAACAGTGCATTCCAGTGTGCTGACAGGCGGGGCAGTCCCAACTATTGTTGGAAGAACAGAAGTAAACTGACACCTCGGGCACATCTAGATATTATAACTATTTTTCACACACAGCTGGAAGTCAACAGATAATATGCCGTGAAACTGAGGGGCAATTTGAATATGCTGCCGTCTTAGTAATTTGGTACCAATTCTTTGAAAACAAATTTTACTGTGGTTTGGGTGAAAGTTGACAGAGCAAATTAGTTTCCCATTCAACAATTTATAAGTTGTGTGGCATTGATTGCAATCCCCTCAATGTAACAGCACTCTTCCCACTTCCTCTCTGAGTTCCCTATTCCTATTTGCCCATCTTTTATGCCCCTGCCTGCTTTCTGCACTTTGTTTTTGGGCAAATGCTGCCCTTTTGGCCTCATATGGTTGATTGTTAAGAGGAACACACTCTTCATGGGTATTACTGTTCCCTTTAGAGGCCTATTTTTCAGCTGCAAGGTGATCTGGATTGGGTTCAGTTTTCAGTTTGAAGGGTATGTAAGGGCCATGATATTAGGGATTTCACCAATCTATCAGACCAGTAAGTCTGGTCTTTTTTACGATTTTGAATTTTGTTCTACATTTTTCTTCCACTATCTCCAGGACCACCTATTTTGATCCTGATCAGAGCAGTTAGTAATGGTAGCATGGCACCATATAGTTCCAATCTCAGGCTATTGGAGACTGATCTGTGTGGTCCTGTGGAAATCATTGTTTCTTTGAGTCTTATGTATTCTTCCCTCTGCTTCAGACAGGAAGAGACCCATAGTTGTATCTTAGATGGCCGTTCAGCAAGCTTTTACAGTCCCAGTCACTACTCCCCAAAGTAAGATGTAGAACGTTGCTTTATAGACTATGTTAAGTGTTATGACAATTGACCTAGAAATTCCCCAAAACTATAAACTTAAGCCCACAAGCCCAGTCCCTCAAGGTTACTTATATGAACCGGCACGTTATACCACATGACTCTTCAACAATTCTTTGTTACTCTAAGTCTTGTACCAAGTTTCCACATTCCTCTCGTTATTTGTACCCAGTCAACAGCTTCAGTTTTAGGGCAGAGCAGCTGGGTAGGTAAACCCAGTGCCATTGACTTGGTTCCAACTCATAGTGACCCTATAAAGGCAGAGTGAAACTACCCCATAAGATTTCCAAGGTTGTAAGTCTTTATGGGAGCAGACTGCCTCATCTCCCCCCTATCTCCCAAAGGGGTGGTGGGTTGGCACTGCTGACCTTTTCATTAACCACTACACCACCAGAGCTCCTCCTGGATGGGTAACAGGTAATATTGTCAAATAATGCTGGGCTCACACCTGCGACACTGCCAGTCCATTCTCAGAATGCCTCCACCTTTAGGGTAGAGTGTTTCCCATCGACACAGGCATGCTTTCCCAACACTATTCCAGATTAGTCCAGTTGCCAATTTTGCAGAAATTTTAATACAGCATATCTCTTCCCAAGAAGCTCTGATGGCACTGTGCCTATGGCATTTGACAGTTAACCGGAAGGTTGGCAGTTCAAACCCACAGCTGTTCCATGGAAGCAGGATGGGGCAATCTACTCCCATAAAGATTTACTGCCTCGAAAACCCAATGAGGGTCTGTATGAGTCAGAATTAACCCGATGGCAGTGAGTTTGGTTTGGTTTAGTTTGGCATCTCTTCTGAAAGGGTTTGGATTTAAATAAACATTCAAATGATCTATCCTTTTACTACAAATACCTTTCATGGTTCTACTCCAAAAAAAAAGTTTGAAGAAACAATCAAAACCATATGCTGTCGCATAGATTCCAGCTCATGGCTGACCCCATGTGTTTCAGAATAGACCTATGCTCTATAGAGTTTTCAATGATTGATTATTTTGGAAGCAGATTACCAGGCCTTTCTTTTCTTTTTTTAACTTTTATTGTGATTTGGGTGCAAGTTTACAGAGCAAATTCATTTTCCATACAGCAGTTCATACATACTTTGTTTCATGACATTGCAGTTCCCCACAATGTAACTGTTGTCTTCCCACTTCCTCCATGTAGTTACCTCTTCCCTGTGTTCTTTCCTACGCATCCCTGCCTCCTGAGCTGTCTCCCTGTGAAAATAATACCCTCTGTCCTCCCATGATTGATTGTTCTAAGGAGTGTATCTACCTGATATAAATGTTCACCCCATATGCCTATCTATTTGGCTGAAAGCTACAGGAGTGAGGAGTTCAGTTCCAGTTCTGAAGGGTAACTAGGGGCCATAGTCTTGGGGTCTCACCAGGCTCTATCAGACCAGCAAACTGGTCTTTGTGTGTGTGTGTGTGTGTGATTTTTGAGTTTTGTTCCACATTGTTCTCCCACTCTATCCAGGATCTCCTGCACTGATCCCTTTCCAAGTGGTTGGCAGTGGTAGCCGGGCACCATCTAGTTCCTCTGGTCTCGTGGTCATACACAGGCCCTTCTTCTAAGGTGTCTTTGGGTGGACTCAAACCACCAACCTTTCAGTTAGCAGCTGAGCACATTAACTGTTTACCCAACCCAGAGATTCTTGAAGGAACAAAGGGCTTTACCTCTCCCTG